AATTCTAAGAGGCCTCTTCAATCTCTCAGAGGCCTAGATTCTGAAATTGTAAGGACTTTGAGGTTGTTATTAAAGCTCTACAGAGCCTAAAACTCTCAGCTTGAGAGTCTCTTGTCCAAAAGTTCTGAGTCCAAGATTCTATCTTTGGAACATTCTAGAATTCTCCAGTTTTGCTAGCTTCGATTTCTCCATCTTCCTGCACCATGTTCTATCTATCCCAAGATTCCGCTGCCCTAAAAGTCTAGCTCAATGCACGGTTAGGGGAGTGGGTAAGATCAAAGTAAGGAGCCAGACTTCCAGGGTTCAAATCTGGGGGCACCACTGACCCTGACAAGAGTGCCTCTTGATCTGTAAAATGAAGATATGGACTATAGTGAGGATCCAACTGGCCAGAAGGTGCAAGAGGAATTAAGGCTCTGAGAATTCAGGCCTCAGAAAGTATGGACTCCAGGAATCAGAACTTGGGGCTTTTAGAAGCTCAGATACACAGGAAACACTCTGCGTCTGTTAAAATAGGAAAACGAACAATTCTATGCAGCCTCCGGTGCCAGCGTTCTGGCAGCGAGATGTTCTTTTGGGGGATTTCAGGATTCCCAAATTTCTAAGACTCCCAATCCCACGCTGACATCTTCTGGCTCTAAGGAAATGCCAAGGCTGGGCGTGGGGCCCTCCCAGGGCTGGTGCGGGCAGAGGGGTCGTCGGGGCCACCAGGGGGCGCTCCGGGTCACGGCCCGCGGGCGGACAGCGCCTGAGCTCAGACCCCGGGAATGCGCTGCGGGCCTGGGCAGGTGCCTCACCTCCCGCGGCAGGGGAGCGGGGGCCGGGCGGGGCGCAAGGGCGGGGCGCAGGGGCGGCGCAAATCGCGCCGCAGTTCCCAGGCCTCAGCCCTGCACCTCCAGCTCCCGCTCCCCCTCCTGCGGGCTCTAGTCCACCCCTGGGTACCCTCTAACCCCAGCTCCCATTCCTCCCCTTCCCCTCCACCCCTAACTCTCGGTCCCCCGGACTCATGCACACGGCCAGGCCAAGCAAGTTCTTCGGGGTTAAGGATCCCGGGGGCTTCCTGGAGTACTCATCATCCTCAGTGGGAACCGAGACAGAGCGCCAGGCTAGGCTGGAAATACCCTGGTTGGACTCCTACATTTCTGTCCGGACAGACTGACGCTGGAAGAGACCCCACCCTCTCCGGGACTTGGTTTTCCCCTCTGTGGACGACTGTGGAACAGGCTAGGGCCTTCCCCCTCTCTTAAGTCTCTACCCTGGACTAGTTATATAGTTTCTCTGTGCCTCAGTTTCCTGGTGTGTATGATGGGAGAATTAATACCTTCTCCTCAGAAGGGTGTGAGGTTTGAGTGGCATAATTTATGTACAGTGTTTAGAACAACGCAGGGCACCAAATAAAGGTCACACATATAGGATTCTTAATTACTGACCTTCCTTGGCTGTTCGTTAAGATAACATAGGATCTGACACACGGTGAGGGCTCAAGACCCAGAGGAATCTTTTTTCCCCAAAAGAGCCCTTTCAACTCTTTCTGAGTCTAAAAGCCCTGGGTTTTGACCTCTGGAGTCTCAACTTCCTAAACCCTAAATTCTCCCTGTACATTAGTGAGTTCTGGCTCATGGTCATGCCCAAAAATTCTGGCAGAGGGGCACAGGCTGCCCTGGAAGATTCCAGAGAGAAGGTGGCAAAAGCCCAGGGTGTGGGCTCTCCAGCCTTAGTTTCCCCAGTGGAGTAGAGAGAAGTCATTGCCTGGGGTGGAGTCAGCAAGCCACCTTTGGGCAGTTGCCTGAGACCTCTGTAGACAGTGGGAACCATCTACCTACCAGTGCTGAGCCTGGCACGCTGTGAGCTCTGTCTTGGCAGCCATGGTTGGTTATTATTTTTAATTTCATCTCAGGCTATCACCGAATGCCCTTCAAGCCCAGACAATTAGGAAGTTCTTCCCTCTCTCATCAGAACCCCCTGCCTCCCCCGCCCCCTTGTTCAATCCCCTCACATGTCACATGGGGGTGGAGAGAAGGGGGAGACAGCCAGAGGGAGGCGCCCGTCCCTGCCCTCCCCCGCTTCAAGGACAGACACACACCTCCAGAATTAGCCTCTATCCCTCGCTTATCTCCCACACTACCTCAGGTCAGACAGATGGGGGTGGAGGTGACATTTCTCACCTCAGGGTCAGGGCGAGGAGCCCTAGGAGTGGGGGAGGTTAGTCAGAAAATCTGGTGGGAATGGATGGAATTTCGTCCCCCAGACAGCTGCAGAAGAAAGAGGAAGCCAAACTCTGATCAGCTCTGCTATCTGAGACAGCTGCTCAGAAGGGGCCAAACGCTAATCAACTCTACCTGTGCGACCTCTTAGCCTCAGTTTACCCCTGTCCTCTCTGTGTCGTGCCCAGCCATGCAAGCCTCCCAGAATCCAATCCCACCTTCTGGAATTCTGCCCTGGGTTCTAGAACCCCCTCTGCAAACCCCAAATATCTCCCACCTCCAAGGGGTAATGGGAGGCTCCCGCCCCCACGAGGGGGCGCCCTGGGGTGGAGGTCCCTCCTCTGGTTAGGCAGGTCTGACGCCCCGGTTAATGATATGTTGGGGATCTCGCAGCCGAACGCAGGTTGGAGAGCTGCCGCGGTCCCCCCTCCCCCGGCTCCCACCCCAGAGCCGGAAAGCGTAGGGAGCGCCGGAACCCAGCCTCCAGAGGGACCTCGGGGGCTTGTCCTGCTACATTTCAGGGCCCCGAGTTCCACTATCCCCATCCCACTCCTAATTCTGCCTCGAGACCTAGAAGCTCGGTGGAGAAAGCAGCTGCAGAGCGTCAGGGATGGCCGCCCTTTCCAGAGCCCCATCAGTCCGAGTCCTGTCATTTCTACCCAGGTCTCAGGCATCTGATACCCCAATTCTCCTCAAAGACTCAGGCTTCTGAGAACGCCCAATTCGTGGGATTCAGGAGTCCCAGCTCCAGCGTCTCCCCGGGACCATGGCGTCCGAGCCCTCCATCCCAAGAACTCAGGCATCAGGGTTCCCTTTACTTTTGCCCAGTAAACATGAGTTCTTTCCTTCGAAGGACCCTGGCATCTGCGCACCCCCAATTCCACCCTGGGACTCAGCGTCCGAGTCCCCTCCCAGTCCTCCCAGGGACGCGGTGTCGGCCTCCTCCAGAGCCGCTGGACCCCAGTGGGGTGGAACTCACGGATCCCGGGCAGATCCTGGCACCGGGGGACTTCCTCCGGCTCCGGCTCGGGCTGCGGGGAGCGCAGGACGGGGCGGGGCAGGCGCCGGGAACAGGTTAGACGACGTGACTCCGGCCGGAGGGAGGCGGGTCCCGGAGGGGAGGGGGAGTAGGGGTCGCCTCGAGCACCTTGGGACTTGTAGTCCTGGAGGGGCAGGACGCAGCCTGAGACGTTCCCATTGGGAATCACCGAAAGTCCATTTCACAGACAGAAAGGGCGAGGTCCGGAAGCCGAGGGCGACCTGACCACGTAGATAGACTCGACTTTAACCTCGCGGTGACTGAGGGAGACAGCGTCCTGAATCCCTGACCCACCCCTCCAGGCTTAGTTTCCCCCTTCTAGAAAGAAGGTGTGGACGCCACCAAAGAGGTAGAAGGTTAGAGACTGGGGAAGACTCACATGCCCCGCCCCTAAGGCGAGAAGAGAGCCTCGCTAAATCAGTATCCCCTCGAGTCTCTGAGCCTCGATCTCCCCGTCGGTAAAAAGGATGGGTTGGATCTTTACAGATTTACCCAGCAACTGAGTCCAAAGTCGTAGGCTGGGACTACAATCCCCAGCAGCTTCCGCGATGGACGTCGGGCGTCTCCCCTCCTCGCGTCCTCTGGGAATTGTAGTTCGGGGCCCGCAGGGGCGGCGCCCGGGTGTCTCGCCCACGCTGGGGAACTGCCTGGTGATCCCCGACTGAAGGAACGCGTCCCCTTCCCCTGACCCTCTTTCCGCTCTGGGAAGCCGCTCACACCCTGAGAAACGGGGACGCCCCAGTTCTCGAATAGGATCCGAAATCACGGCAGAGGGGGCGAGAAGTGGCGCTGACACACCGGCCAGGAATGCAGTCGGGTCACCCTGTCTAGCCGCCGTCCCGCGGCTCCGCCCGCTGCCGCAAGCGGTGCGGTCTCTGTGGAAAGGGGCGTGGACGCGAACCCCAAATCTGTGTCCACGTGCCGCTGTTTACACGCGCCCCCCCCACCCCGGCGGAGAAAGGGCGCTGATCAAACCTTCTACTCCCTCTCCCATCCTCAAAGCCTTCGGGAATGTCTGTCCCCCACGCACTAGACTAAGTCCTCGGGGGCATCTTATCTGTCTCATTGGTCCACAAACCCCGCCCCTTAGCCCCCACCGCCCCACGCGTGTTTAGCACAGGAGTCTGGAGGCCCCGCCCCGGGGCCCACAGGCTCCTCCCCCTACGTTTCCCGCTCCCTAGGAGTTCAGAAGCCCCGCCCCTAAATTGGTACTTCACGCCCTCCGGAGGAATTATCCCATTTCTCCATTTTCCCACTTGTCCCACTCCAATTCCGAATTTCCCAGGCATCTGGGCCCCCCAAGAAGGGATTGTAACACTGAAAGCACGGCCCTGCCAACCTAGACTCTTACCTGTCTCTTTAAGAATCTCAGACCACTCGAGCTTCCTGTCTCTTTAAGAGTTGGGAGCTACCAATGTGGCTGTCCCTTTAAGGCGACGTTGGAGCAAATAATGTCTGAGAGATTGGGGGGGATACCCGCAGGGACCCCGTGAAGCTCTAACTCCCGCCAAGCAGCCAAGCAGCTGCTTTGGGGAGCAGGTTTTCGGGAAAAGACGTCTTCCTTGGTTATCTGCTCTGCACAAGTGGAAATTCTCCCCAGTTCTGCTCGTAGAGCGAGCGGGCCCCGAGCGACACCCCCGCGCTCCCGCACCACATGGGCGCTCCCGGATGAAGCCCCACCCCCCTGGTTCCACGTGGTCCGCTGCGCCGCTCCCCGGCTCTCGGCGGCTAGGTCTGAGGGGGGCACAGGTCCCGGCATGGCGGGGACCCCGTCCGGCGGTGAGTGGCATCAGGGCGGGCTGGCGGGGTGCGAAGAGTTGGCTGAATGGAGGAGAAAGGGCCCCCGGGGGCGTTCGGACGGAAAAACGGACTTTCCCAGACACAGGACCTGCGGAGAGAGTATCTCCCGCGAGGAAGGGACTTCGGACTTAGGGAGGGTATGGGGTGGGGGAAACTACCGGTGGAGGGAAGGGCGCCCCCAGGAATTGGCTTGGTGGAGATTGGGGTGCCCCTGGGGAACAGGCAGGAGAGAAGAGGCCGGGTGAGGGGATTGAGGCGCTCAGGAGGCTGGACCAATGGGCCGATGGGCGTCCTAGAGGATTGGATACGCGGGGAAGTGTCAGCAGGCTCCCGTTTTCTCTCCTGCAGGTGCTGCTCTGTTCTCCTGTCCCCCCACCTTTACCGCGACGTCCCCAGCTTCAGAGCCCACTCGTTTTTCTTTGGAGGTGTTAAGGGATCCAGATACGGAACTGTGGCTTATCCAGGCTCCTGTAAACTTCGCCCCAGACTGGTGAGTGGTCCAGGCCACCTCCTGGGAATACGCCCCACCCCAGTGGCTGAACTTGGGTGGAGTTTAGAGGGGCTTTCCTCGGGCATTCAGGGCGCCTGGGTAGCTCAGTTGGTTAAGCGTCTGATTTTGGCTCAGGTCCTAATCTCAGGGTCCTGGGATCAAGCCCGGCATCTGACTCCCCGCTCAGCGGGAGTTGGCTTCTCCGCCTCCCTCTGCCCCTCTCCCATGCTGGTGCTCCGTCTCTCTCAAATGGATGAATAAACCTTTTTTAAAAAATGCTGTTTCTCAGCTCCTTTCCTCCCTTTCACCAGAAAAATCTGATGAAGCTTCTGCCTTCTCCTTTCTCCTTTCAGCCTCAATGGGCGGCTAGTGCCTCTCTTGGGCTCCCGGATTGTGAAGGGCAAGTTGGCGGGCAAGCGGCACTGCTACCGGGTCCTCAGAAGCAGCGGCCCCCAGGCTGGAGAAGCAATCCTGCTGGCTTCCTCAGGGGGAGCAGGAGGGGGACTCACCTGTGCCCCAGCCCTCCAGGGCAGCCTAAGGATCTTTGACGGTCCCCAAGAATCCCCTTCCGGGACCCTGCTGCAGCCCATCCCAGCAAGCCCCCCACCACAGATCCCCCCTGGCCTGAGGCCTCGGTTCTGTGCCTTTGGAGGCAGCCTCCCGGTAACAGGGCCTGGGTCAGTCTTGGAATTGAGGTCACCGGCCTCAAGGAAGAGGAAGAAGAAGAGGCATATACCAGAGGCCTCAGTTCCACAGGAGGCGGTGAATGGGCTTGGGGCCCTGGAGGTGGACACAGCTTTGGGGTCTCCAGAGGTGGATGTGGGGAAGAAGAAAAAAAAACAGGAGCTAAAACAACTAGAGGTGATGGAGCCCGTAGCAGCAGAATCCATGGCTGAGATGTCGGAGCCCCTGGGGGCACCGTTTCTGTCCACCACCAAGAAGAAGAAAAAGAAGCCCAAAGGGGCAGAAATGGTCGAACCAGAAGAGCAGACACTGGTGCCTGAAGAAAAGCCGGCGGAGCTGGAACTGACAATTAAAAGGGAGCCTCTGGAAGAGATAGTTTTCTCTCCCTCCAGGAAGAGGAAGAGGCAGAAGGGGACAGAAGGGAGGGAGCCAGGGGAAGGGATGCCGGCCGAGTCTCCACTGCAGCTGGAGCCAGAGGAGGAAGCCAACCCGCTGCCATCCTCCAAGAAGAAGAAAAAAGAAAAGGGGTACAAAGTAATGATGGAGCCAGGGACCGAGGCGACAGAGCTGGAGATGGGCCCTCTGGAGTTCCCAGGGGAGGTAATGGAGCCTGAACTACCACACGAAGTTGAGCCTCAGGCTGAGGCAGCTCTGGTGTCCACCAAAAAGAGGAGGAAGAAAGAGAAATGGCAAAACGCGGCGGGGGAGCCGGGGGCAGAGGTGGTGGAGCCTTGGGTGGAGCCTGAGCCACCAGGGGACCTTGAGCCGCAGGCATCCACCAAGAAGAAGAAGAAGAAGAAAGAAAGGGGCCACAAAGCAACGGAGCCAAGGGCCGAGACGAGTGACCCACAGGGGGAGGTGTTGGAGCTGCAGCTGCCAGACGAGGGGGAGCCTGAGGCCAGGGCGGATCCAGTGCCCACCAAGAAGAGGAAGAAGCAGGGCCAGGGGAGTGGGATGCCAGACACGGCATCCCAGGAGATGCTCGAGCCGCCGCTGAGTCTGGAGTCGGGGGAGGAGGTGGCTCCCACAGGATGGGAGAAGAAGCGGAAGAAGCTACAGCAGGATCCTGTGTAGTCTCTTCCAGGGAAACTGAGGGCTGCAGTTAAGAAAAGCTGGAGGTGACTGCCTGGGCCAGCAGAGAGCAAGTGCAGAGGACTCCCCCATCCCCGCTCCCAGTGACTGCCCCAGCACACCAGCAGCAGCCTGAGCCAGGAAAACGGCTTTATTGTTACACCGAGGGCCTCCTTCACAGCTGCGGCCATCGGTCATCGGGGCACTTTCAAGAAGGGCTCGTGTAAGACATCAAACAGCCTCCGGGCCTGGGTGAGAGCAAGAAAGAAAGGAGGGGTGGGTCATTAAATGAGCCATTTGTTTGCTACATCCGCAGTGGGCTTTGCTTCTTTCCCCCTCAGCCAGACGGGGCTCTGGGGGCCAGGAGAGAAAGAGCCAGATCTTGAATCTCCCAGACCTGCTATATGAGTTTGGGCCGGTCCCCACCCTCTCTGGGCCTCGGTCTTCCCCAGCTGTAGGAGAAACACTGTGGGCCTTCCAAAACCTTGTTAGAGCTCTGGGATCTGAGGTCCCATTTATTTGGAGCTCCCTCCTGCCCCCGGCCCCTCAAGCCGATTTCCACAGCTCTTACCTTCTGGGGTCCCAGGCCTGGGCACAAAGCCAGATCTTCCCGCGATGCGGCCATGAGCTGTTCCAGAGACTGAGGAAGGTGGGAGTGAAGGGTCAGAGATGGGGAGCACGAGACTACCCTGCCCCAGCTGATCAGGGGTCTCAGAGATCCCTGGAAGGAGGTGAGGTCCTGTGGGAGGGCAGGGGAGGCAGGAAGGATGGGGAGAAGGGGGCAGTGAGGTGGAAGGAAACAGGTGTGTGTGGGGTGGGGGTTCCTTGAAAAGGCAAGGGGGTCAAAATGCCATTGGGATAAGGGAATCATTCCTTACCCCAAAAGTGGTCAGAAGGGTCTGGCTGTCTGTTTTATTGACTGACTTCACTGTGGTCAGGCATTCAGTCACCTGGAAGGGGAGAAGGCAGAGATGCATCAGGAGAGAAATGACCGTGACTGAGCCCGCAGGGCAGCACTGGGTCACCGCTGTGTCCCCAGACTGCCTGCATGCAGGAGATGCTCAATAAATGGCCTTTTTCTTTGATTAAAAGTTCATCTTAGTGGGGCGCCTGGGTGGCTCAAGTCAGTTAAGCGTCTGCCTTCAGCTCAGGTCATGATCCCAGGGTCCTGGGATCGAGCCCCACATCGCAGAGCCTGCTTCTCCCTCTGCCTCTGCTCCTCCCCTCGCTGTGCTCTCTCTCTCAAATAAATAAAATCTTAAAAAAAAAAAAAACTTAAAAGATTTAAAAATAAAAAATATAAGTTCATCTCAGAGTGATCCCCAACTAGGTGAGAAGGTGTCAGTCACATAAGATAAATGCCATTTCTCCTGAGTTGTTCTGCCCAAGGGAAGACCACAGGCTCTGAGTTCAAAACCAGGGCCCACTGCTTACTTCCTGTGAGGCCTGGGCATGGGAACTGACCCCTCTGGGCCTCTTTTCAGGCTAGTGGGGGCCCCTCATAGTACCCACCTCAGGGGTGGTGGTGGATGTCCACCATTACTCAGTCGTTGGAACCCAGGTTAAACACTTCGTTCAGCCAATACTCCCTGAGCACCCACTGAGTGCTGCGTGATACTGGGGACACAGCAGAGACCAAGCCAGGCCTGGCCCGGCCCTCCTGGGGCTCCCAGTCCAGTGTGGGAGATAGATCAGCTCCTGACAGTGGTGACCCACATGGGCAGGGCTGGGGGGGGGACCCCAGCAGGGGCACTAGACCTGGCCTGGGGATCAGAGAGGGCTTCCTGGAGAAGGAGGCATCAGAGCTGAGATGTGAAAGACGGGATTAGGTGGGTAGTCAGGCAGAGGGAACAAAAAGGCACAAGCTTAGAGGAGTGAGCCAGGTCTGGGAGAAGTGACAGAATGTGAGGCCAGGGGCGGATGGGGCTGCTGGGCAGAATAGGCAGGGCCTTGTAGAGTGTTGTGAGAAGGCCAGGCTTTCCCTGAAGGCACTGGGGAGCCATGGGAGGGTTTTGAGCTGGGGAGGGCAGAATGAAGTTTATGCTTAGGAAGACCCCTCTAGCTGCCGGGTGAGTGAGAAAGGGGAGAGGGAGCTGAGGGTGGGATGGGGAGGAGAGGTTGGATTCAAGCCCCAGGGAGGAGCTGGGGGAGGCCCAGGCAGGGAGGTGCAGTGCCCTCACCCGGGAGACGAAGTCCTGCTCCAGCTTCTCCATCAGGAGGTCCGCCGGCTTCTGCTCATAGGCCTTGTAGGTCTCCAGGTACCGCCCGGCCTCCTCAGGGCTGGGGTGAGAACATTCGGGTCAGCCAGGGGGAGGGGGGCACGTTTTAGATTCAGTTCATTATGCCGTTAACTCTAATATAGAGAAAAAAGATAAACTTTGCTCCTCTAAATGTCCCCTGGTGATAACCCAGGCCAGGCACACCTTTGCTGGCTAAGGGGCAGAGCTTGAGAGCCTAACCCGTTGGCTTTAGGTTCCCCCTTCCCACCTGAGTGACCCCGGGGCCAGTGATTTTCTCTCTCTGGGCCTCAGTCTCCTCATCTGTAGAGTGGAGCGGATGGTAGAACTGGCTCCAAGCGCTCAGAACGGTGCTGGGGGCTCAGAGACCTATTTAAGAAATATGAGCTATTCTGGAAGGGAAGTGGGTATGTGGAGTTTGAGAGGGAGAAAAAACCAGAAACACTGTTATTCTTTTCCCAACCCCAGGAGACAAATTTAGGAGGCATTCAGTTCCCACTGTCGGTTTTTAATCTAGCACGCCTTCAAGAGAAAGGCTGCGGGCGAGCGGGCAGGCGAGCTGACTGCTGAATCTTATTATAGAGGCTAACATGACCGGATAATCGCCATTAATTTTCACATCAGGCATGGGTTCTTCTTACATGTAACGGACTGCTTCAAAGGTAGGTGACATAACCAAATCTTAAAAAGGCTCTATGTGTGCGGAAGAAAGTAACTCAAGTTTATTGGCACTGGGAAGAAGCTGGCCTTTTTTGTTTGGGGAACTTGGGAAGAGTGAGTTGAGTCGAAGTAAATAAAGGATTCAGGGTTGAGGCATCTTGGCCTTCAGATCCTAGCTAATAAGCAATGTTTTTTTGATTAAGCGACGGTTCATATTCTTGAAATAAACATTCATTTTTCTAATTCTATTTTTTTTTCCTTGTTAAATGGGCTTTGCGGCTTTTCACTGCAGCAGGATTATTGTTATGGTTCTTAATAATTTGTTCAGGACCCTCCGGTTAGCACGCTGTGTCCGGTTCTAGAATTTGCTTTCATTTTTGCACTCTGCAATATAAGCAGGATGTCTTTCCATGTCAGCAGAAGGAGCTCGACCTCTTTTATTTAACGGTTGCAAAACATTCCATGATTTAGATGTAAAAACATAGGAAACATTCCCTCTTGTGGGGGCCTAGCTGCATGCCAGGTGCTGCTCTAACTCATTATGCTCAGAACCTTCCAGAACCGAGAGCTCCTATAAGGCACTTATTATTTTCAAACCATTATACAGAGGGGGAAGCAGACCGGCGGGGTGGAGTCACTTGCCCAAAATTACACAGCTGGCTAGGAGAAACAGCACCCTTAACTTTACATGACACTACTTCCCACAAAACAGTAATGTTTACGCTTGGTTTTGTTTTAATATACAACTAAGACGGGGGCGCTCGGCTGGCTCCATCGGTAGAGTATACAACTCTTAATCTCTAGGGGTCGTGAGTTCAAGGTCGTGACGCGGCCTGGCTGCCTGATGGAATATTACACAGCTGGGAAAGAATGTGCATCCAGACAATGGGATATTATTCAGCAGTAAGAAGTGAGCTACCAAATCATGAGAAGGCATGGAGGAACCTTAGAAGCATATTGTTAAATGACAGAAGCCAATCTGAAAAGGCTTCTGTGAGGTAAGAGGAAACTTCTACGGTCTCTGCCCCTGGCTCCCAGCACAGAGCTCGAGACCCTTGTACATTCCTCAGTGAGAAGAGCAGTAGGAGCATCTTTGTTCTATATTTTTTAAAGATTTTATTTATTTGAGAGAAAGAATGACTGGGGTAGGGGAAGAGGGAGAAGCAGACCCCCCGCTGAGCGGGGAGCCCAATGCAGGACTCGATCCCAGGACCACAGGATCACGACCTGAGCTGAAGGCAGACACTTAACCGACTGAGCCACCCAGGCACCCCCATATCTGTTCTATTGAGATGACTTTGGGTGGGTTCCTGGATGGGAGCTGGATGGGGGCTGGTCACCAGAACCGATCAGAAGCTTGGGATTTTCAGCCCCACCCATGTAGGGGCTGGAAATGGACTAACAGTTGACTGTGCCATAAAATCCCAATACCAGGGGGTTCAGAGCTTCCAGATGGGCAAACATGTCAACACGGGGAGGGTCATGCACCCCAGTTCCACAGGGACAGAAGCTCCTGTGCTCAGGACCCTTCCGTACATCTCATCCTGTCTCTCACCATCTTGCTGTTGATTCTTACCTTTTAACAAATTCCTTACTAAACCAATAAATGTGTTTCCCTGAGTCCTATGAGCCGCTCTAGCAAACCGAACCCGAGGCGGGGGGGTGGGGGTCCCTGGAAGCGGGCTGGTCAGAAGTACAAGCTGGGCTTGTGACAGGTGCCTGAAGTCGGGGGCGGTCTTGGACTGAGCCCTTCACCTATGGGATCTGATGCCATCTCCAGGCAGACGGCGTCAGAACTGCATTAAACCATAGGACACCTGGCGGGTGTTGCAGAGAACGGCTGGGTGTGGGGAAAAGCTTGACACATCTGGTGGCCAGAAGTGAAGTGTTTTGTACGAGTAGTAAAAGCAACACAGGAAAAAGACCCACATTAGGGAAGAATGGGGTTTTTTTTTTCCTACACACGAGGACAATACTCGTATTCTATACTATATATGTGTATATTCCAACTATATGATATCCCGAAAAAGTCAAAACTATGGAGACTAAAAGGATGAAGGGTTTGGGGGTGGGAGGGACGAATGAGTAGAGCACAGGGGAGTCTTTAGGGCAGTGCAACTATTCTGTATGGTACAGTAATTATGGACACATACCGACCCACAAAATGGACAACACAGAGCGTGAACCCTGATGTAAGCTATGGGCTTTGGTTAATATATCAATACTGGATGGGGCGCCTGGGTGGCTCAGTGGGTTAAGCGTCTGCCTTTGGTTCAGGTCATGATCCCAGGGTCCTGGGATCGAGTCTCGCATCTGGCTCCCTGCTCAGCGGGGTACCTGCTTTTCCCTCTCCCTCTGCTGTTCCCCCGCTCTCTCTTAAATAAATAAAATCTTTAAAAGTAAAAATATATATATATATGTGTGTATATATATATATCAGTATTGGCTAATGAGTTGTAACAAATGTACCACACGAATTCATACAAGATATAAATAATAGGAGAAAACACATTCGGGGGAGAGAGGCTATGTGGCAACTCTCTGCACTTCCTGATGACTCTCTATAAACTGAAACCTCTAAAAAATTAATATTTTTAAGGGTGCCTGGGTGGCTCAGTCGGTTAAGAGTCTGCCTTCTGTTCGGTCGTGATCCCAGGGTCCTGGGATCGAGTCCTGCATTGGGCGCCCTGCTCTGCGGGGAGCCTGCTTCTCCCTCTCTCTCCCTCTCAAATAAATAAAATCTTTTAAAAAAATTAGTATTTTTTAAAATGTGAACACTATATTGGGATACTACACAGCCATAAAAAAGAAGGTGGCTGTTCTCTATACTGATAGAGAAAAAACCTCCGGGGGGTGGGGCGGGGGCGCCTGGGTGGCTCAGTCAGTTAAGTGTCTGCCTTTGGCTCAGGTCATGATCCCAGGGTCCTGGGATCAAGCCCCACATCGGGGCTTCTCCCTCTCCCTCTGCCTGCCACTCCCCCCTGCTTGTGCTCACTCTCTCTTTCTTTAGCAAATAAAATCTTAAAAAAAAAAGGCAAAGAAAAGACTTCCAGGTGATGACACGACAATGCAAGGCACAGAACAGCAAACACATACATACATGCCGTGTGTATATACCATATACACTTATGTATATATGTGTGCACACAGACAAACCACTTTCGTATAGCTTCTGATTTTAGAACTACATGAATACGCCATTTTTTTAAAAGATTTTATTTATTTATTTGAGAGAGAATGAGAGACAGAGAGCATGAGAGGGAAGAGGGTCAGAGGGAGAAGCAGACTCCCTGCTGAGCAGGGAGCCCCATGTGGGACTCGATCCCGGGACTCCAGGATCATGACCTGAGCCGAAGGCAGTCGCTCAACCAACTGAGCCACCCAGGCGCCCATGAATACGCCATTTATTTAACAAAAGAAAGTCTAACCAGTCTATATTCAGAAGAAAGCCAGAAGGGGAGAGAGTAAATCACCCCCTCCCATCACTGCTGACTCTTCATACCCTCCCCAGAGGTCAACGCTGTCCAGGGCCTGGAGCCTTTGTAGCTCTTTCTAGTTTATCCACATACGTGTCTGTTCAGAAACACAGCTCCCTTTCCTCCCTTCTGTCTATAAATAAAAATATGGTGCTGTTTGGTTCTGCAACTCTGGTCCCTACCCTCTACCCTCTGATGTGCAGTGATGGCCCACGTCATCGTGGATGGACATCTGCACACGCAGGCAGGGCTAATCCCGGTGCGGGAATGTCGGCGTTGAAGAGCGGTGTCTATTTTCTGTAAATAGCCAATCAAGTCTCCCACCAACCAAATGCGCAGGTGCCCATTTCATGCTATCCATCTGAGACGTTTTCACCAAATTTACGGGAGAAAGACGGCACCTCATTTTTTAAAATTTACTTTTTTCGGGCACCTGGGTGGCTCAGTCGGTTAAGTGTCTACCTTCAGCTCAGGTCATGATCCCGGGGTCCTGGGATCAAGCCCCGCATCGGGCTCCCTGCTCTGCGGGGAGTCTGCTTCTCCCTCTGCCTCTGCCCTTCCCCACTACTCATGCTCTCTCTCTCTCTCAAATAAATAAATAAAATCTTAAAAAAATAGAATAAAATAAAATTTACTTTTTTCTTGATAAACTATAAGGTTGATATTTTTTTCATGTGTTTTGGCAACCTGAATTAGACTCTTATTTAGGCTCTTATTAACCTGTGGGAATTTCTTTACATAGATAAATATATAATAAATAGGTTTAAATATTTGCATATAAGTATTTAAATATATTAACATTGTATAAATATAACTTATATGTACATATATAAATTAGAAATGTTAAGTCTTTATTTTATATATATATATGCACAGCAAGTACTTTTTCATAATTTGTCACTTGTCTTTTAACTTTATTTACAGTATCTTTTACTACCCAGAAGTTTTAAAGTTTTAATATTCTCAAATCAGCCAACCTTTTCCTTTATGGCTTCGGGGTCCTGGGTCTTGCTTTAGAAGAATTTTCCTACCCCAAGATTATAAAAAATATTCTCCTGTAAGATTTCTTCTAACACCTTTTTTTTTAATGTCTATAATTTGTCAGGATTTAATTTTTTTTATGGTGTGAGGAAGGGATTATCTTTTTTCCAATTAGAAATTAGCCAATCTAAATAGTCTTTAGAAACCTAGATGTGGAATTAATTATTCAGACAGACTTTATGTCTAACTCATCAGTGCCTAGTATGGTCCTGGCAATTTGATTTATATCACCTGCCTTTGTAACCACAGCCCTATAAGATATTAAGACCCTATTTTAAAGGGTCTTAATGAAGATGAAGAAATTGAGGCCCAGAGGGAGGCAGTGCCTGGATCAGGCTCATATGGGGAGTTCATGGCAGAAGAAGGAAAGGTCTAGGGGGGGCAGAGCAAGTTGAATGACTCTCGGGATAGAGCCTGACCCGAGCGGGGAGCCTCAGCCTCACCTCCAGGCAAGGACCAGGGTGCAGTCAGCCAGGATGCACATCTTGGCCAGCTCCTTGAGGGCCTGCTGAGGATCTTTCTGGATGGAAAAGAAAATCAGAATGAGAGATCTGGTAGAAAGCAAGGAATTATAGTCTTGAAAACACAGTAGGTTAGGATGCCAGGAACCTTCCACTTGACAGACACTTCCTAAGCTCTGACTGGGTGCCCACCTGTGCTGGGCAATGCCGGGACCCCGCAGTCACCAAGACAGGCCAGGCTCTGCCTGCTGGGGCTCACAGTCTGATGAGGTAGATAAAACTGTCCCCGTACAGTGATGAGCCAGAGTGACCAGGACTGGGATGGGAGAGCAGGAGCATGTGACCTGCCTAGGGGATCAGGGAGAGCCTCCTGGAGGAAAGGACATTTGAGCTGAGACCTGAAGGAGGATGAGGAGGAGTGAAGGAGGCAACGGAGAGCAAAAACAGAATTCCAGGCATAGGGAACAACTTGTCCAAAGAATGGGAGGGGAAAGAGGGCTTGAGGAATTGTGATTCACACAGTACGTGATGGAGAATATAAAAGGAAGCTCAGAAATGACCCCAGAGAATGGGGCAGGGGGGCGTTCGCACAAGGCCTCATGGGCCACGGAGGGCACTAGGGAGCCACGGGGGGATCTGGACAGCAGATCTGTGCTTTAGGTTGGTGTAAGGAGGGAGGGGTTGAGGCTGGAGTCAGGGCCCAGGCGGGCTGGGCGGGGTGGACAGAGAGGATGACACAGATTCAAGACACGTTTAGGTGGCAGAGGGCTGGGCTCGGCTGAAGTGGCGTGGGGAAGGAGGAGATGGACGATTTTACCCTCCTACCCCCTGGGCCAACACGGTGTCAATCTCAGATGTGCGAAGTGGTTCCTCACTGAGGTTTCAACTTGGCATCTTCCCTCACGATTCAACAGTGCACTTGGCTGCTGTGAGGCCCCCTCCTCCCTCAGACCCATTTCACAGATGGGGTCAACAAGGCCAGTGGGGAAATGACCACTGCTTACCACATCCACCTGGATGAGCAGGACCCGCAGGGCGAAGCTCTTCCCCAGGCTCTGCAGCCGCTCGTGGATGTAGTCTGGGTGGAGGTTGTGGTAGCGGAGGCTGGGGGGGCAGGGGAGAGGGAGGGATTGGGAGGTCTCGGTCTCCCCAAGACCCCAGGGGCCCTTCTTCACTCTCCCTGGCAGAGGGCGTGGGCAACACAGGGATCTGAGGCTCAGGGAAGTAAAGTGACTTGCCCCAGGTCACCCAGCAAGGCAGGCGCACGGTGGGATTGGCAGCAAGGGCTGCCTGGCTCTGGTTCCCTGGGGGGATGGACCCCAGGTTCTTCACAGAGGCAGGGAAGAGACTTGGGCTTTGGGTAGAGGACAGGACACCAGGGCTTAGAGAGCGGGAACTGGGGGACACTGTGCAGCTAGTCTTGGGAGGCAGGCCCATCCCAGGGACTCTGCTTTGGCCTCAAAGGGCACTGGCAGGGAGGTGGTGGAGTGGTTTCTCCACCCAGGGAACTAGGGGACAGGACATCTCTGCCCAGCAGCCGCCAGCCCTCCTACCTTGCAGGGAAGACAGCAACCTAGAAGTTTCACTTCCCCCCTCTAGCTCTGTTTGGAGAGGGGCCCCGGGGAGTAGAGAAGGAATGTGCTTCACAGGGGTAGAGATTAGAGAAATCCTGGCTCTCATTGACAAGGCCTGGATGTCTGGGACATGAGTGACCCGACCCCCAACTTGCTCAGACCCAGGAGCCCAGGCCCCCAGCCCCCTCCTCCCTCAGACCCAGGAGTCCAGGCCCCCAAGCCTTCCTCCCTCAGACCCAAGAGTCCAGACCCCCAGCCCCCTCCTCCTTCGGGCCCAGGAGTCCAGACCCCCAGGCCCCTCCTCCCTCAGACACAGAAGTCCAGGCCCCCAGCCCCTCCTCCCTCAGACCCAGGAGTCCAGGGCCCCAGCCCCTCCTCCCTCAGACCCAGGGGTCCAGGCCCCCAGCCCCTCCTCCCTCAGACCCAGGGGTCCAGGCCCCCAGCCCCTCCTCCCTCAGACCCAGGGGTCCAGGCCCCCAGCCCCTCCTCCCTCAGACCCAGGGGTCCAGGCCCCCAGCCCCTCCTCCCTCAGACCCAGGAGCCCAGGCCCCCAGCCCCTCCTCCCTCAGACCCAGGAGTCCTCACCCCCAGACCCTCCTCACTCAGACCCAGGGGTCCAAGCCGCCAGCCCCTTCCTCCCTCAGACCCAGGAGTCCAGGCCCCCAGCCCCTTCCTCCCTCAGACTGAGGAGCCCATGCCCCCAGGCCCCTCCTCCCTCAGACCCAGGGGTCCAGGCCCCCAGCCCCTCCTCCCTCAGACCCAGGGGTCTAGGCCCCCAGCCCCTCCTCCCTCAGACCCAGGAGTCCAGGCCCCCAGCCCCCTCCTCCCTCAGGCCCAGGAGTCCAGGCACCCAGCCCCCTCCTCCCTCAGACCCAGAGTCTGGGCCCACAGCTCTTCTTGCTCTGGGCACCTCCAGGCAAACACCTCTTCCTCCCACACAAGGTCCCACCGAGGCCTAGAGCTGACAGGGCCACACCCAAAGTTCTCCCACTGAATGGTCCAAAACACGGGGGCACACCCTCCCAGGCCTCCCAGGTCTCTGGAAGGTGCGGCAGCCCCTCAGAGCTCACCTGAGGAATAGGGCACAGGTGCTCTGGCCCAGCACGTAGTCGGGAAGGACGTCACCAAACTCCCAGGGCACGTTACGCACAAACTTCAGCACGGGGTTGCCCCTCTGGGGACAGAGGAAGGACCAAAGCCATTAACCAGGATGGGCCTGGGATCACTGCCAGCCCAGGGCCCCCTCCCCACCTGCTCCTTGCCTGGGCCTGTCCCCCTCCTCTCCAGAGCCTACCTCCTCAGCCTGAAAAGTCCTTGGTGCTCTGGCTCTGACCTAGGCCCCTCCCCCCAGCCCTGAGCCTTAACTAAAGGATCTCCAAATCTCTCCAGCTCAGCCCTGTCCCCTAGCCCCACGTGTGTGTCCTGGGGTTGCAGGACACTTCCTCCAGGATGTCTGCCTCATTGCATCCCAAGTGCCTTCAGCATCAGCCCTTACACGTGCCCCTCCTACTGGCCCCACTCTGGGGACAGCCCCACCATCCAGAGACCAGAGCCTGGTCGTGGACACGTCCCTCTCCTCCTCCTTCTCCAGGTAGGATGTCTACCTGAGACAGGATCCTATTTTCATTTTTAAAGGATTCCTTTGGGACGCCTGGGTGGCTCAGTCGGTTAAGCGTCTGCCTTTGGCTCAGGTCATGATCTCAGGGTCCTGGGATTGAGCCCTGCGTCAGGCTCTCCACTCAGCAGGGAGTCTGCTCCTCCCTCTACCCCTACTCCCTGCTCGTGCTCTCTTTCTCAAATAAACAAATATTTTTTAAAAAAGGAATCCTTTAAAAAAAAAAAAAGTAATTCCTTGGACATGATCATATTGCTAAAACTGATTTGTCCAAATAGCATGGAAGTTTACTTTTTGTTAACAGAAGACAGAAAATATTAAACATTTTGGAAGATACAATAAAATGAGACTGACTGTAAAAAAAAAAAAAAAAAAAAGGAATCCTTTGTGCCCTTCACACCCACTAGAATGGCCAAAATGGTCAAAAAGACAGACAAGGACAGGTGGTGAGGATCTGGGCAAACTGGAACCCCTGCCCACTGCTGGTGGGAACATAAAATGATGCCTCATTGGATAAAATGGTTTGGGAGTTCCTAAAAAAGCTCAACACAGAGTCACCCCATGACCTAGCCTGCATAAATACCCAAGAGAACTGAAAACCCACGTCTACCAAAAAACCCGAACTCAGATGTTCAGGGCAGCGTCATCAGAATAACCAAGTACAAACAGCCCGACAGACAGCCCATCAGCTGAGGGATGTGAACCCCGGCAGGGCGCCTCCATACACCGGGATGCTATTGGGCCCACAAAGGGAAGAAAGGAAGCCCGGACACGCGCTACCTCATGGAGGAACCTGAAAGCCTTATGCTGGGTGAAAGGAGCCAGACATCAGCCGACAGACATGTGATTTGTTTGCACTTTTTGGCTACGGGGACACAGCTGTGGGGACCACTCGGGCACCAGATTTTGTATGGATGTATGTTGTCATTTCTCCTGAACATCTACCTAGAAGTAGACTTGCTGGGTCATTCGGTAACTCTTATGTTTATTTATTTTTTAAAGATTTTATTTTGCGGGGGGGGGAGGGTGTCTGGGTGGCTCAGTTGGTTAAGCATCCAACTTTTGGTTTCAGCTCAGGTAGTGATCTCAGGGTCATGGGATCGAGCCCTGCGTCAGGCTCCGTGCTCAGCGGGGAGTCTGCTGGAGGTTCTCTCTCTCCCTCTGCCCCACCCCAGCTTGCTCTCTCTCTCTCTCACAAATAAATGAAATCTTTAAAATAAATTATATTTTTTAAAGTTAATTACACCTAACATGGGGCTCGAATCTACAACCCTGAGATCAAGAGTCACGCGCTCCACCAACTGAGCCAGCCAGGTGCCCCGGTAACTCTATGTTTAAGTGTTTGAGGAACTGCCAGACTGTTTTCCAAAGTGGCTGCACCATTGTGCATTCCCACCAGCAGCCTAGGAGGGTTCCAATTCCTCCACAGCCTCGAGACCCTTCTTTGGCCAATTGATGAGAGCCATCCTCATAGGGGTAAGCTGGTACCTCAGTGTGATCACAAGCAGACGAAACCTCATTTTAAGGGCACAGATAAGTTAAGGCACTTGCTCAAGATCACACAGCTGCTGCATGCCAGAGCAGGATTCGAACTCAGGCCTGCGTTCAAGAAATCATCTTTGAATGAAAGAACAAACCCGGAGGACAGGAAATGTAGCTGCACTAACGCGGCCGCACCCCCAAAAAGAAGAGTCAGGGTGGTATAGACTAAACTTTTGTGTCCCTCCTAAAATTCACATGTGGAAATCCTAACCCCCAATGGGATGGTATTAGGAGGTGAGGAGAGGCAATTAGGTCATGAGGGTGGAGCCCCCGGGAATGGGACTAGCGCCCTCATAAAAGGGACCCCAGAGAGCTCCTTCACCCCTTCTGCCATGTGAAGACACAGTAAGACAGCAGTCTATGAACCAGGGTCCTTCCCGGACACTTCGTCTGCCGGCGCCTTGATCTTGGACTTCCCAGGCTCCGGAACCGTGAGAAATAAATGTTTGCTGTTTGAACTACCCAGTCTATGGTATATTTGTTCTAACAAAACAATAGGACATGGAGCAATCTCAACCCATACGCAGTACTTGAATGGATCAATGAAAGAGGGGCCCAGCCCAGAGCACAATGGCCAGAACTCAGGGGCACCTCGGGGGCTCAGTCGTTAACTGTCTGCCTTCGGCTCAGGTCATGATCGCAGGGTCCTGGGATCGAGCCCCGCGTCGGGCTCCCTGCTCTGCAGGGAGCCTGCTTCTCCCTCTCCCACTCCCCCTGCTTGTGTTCCCTCTCTCACTGTCTCTCTCTCTGTCAAACAAATAAATAAAATCTTAAAAAAAAAAAAAGGCCAGAGCTGAGACTTCCTTCCACTGCCCACCAGAACTCCCCCCCGTAACCTGTGTTTCCCACCAGAAACCTCAAAGCCCCACTTCTCCATCCCCTCCTCACCTGGCGGGGGCTCACAATGATGCTGCTGGATTTCGCCCCTGGTTTGGGGGCCTGATTGGGGGTCTCTCCTGCCAGGGACTCTGGCCCCATGGGGTGTGGAGCTCCAGCCCCTCCTGGAGGTCCCGAGATGGCATACTCGGCATACGTCTGAGGGGCTGCCTGAGGTGAGGCCTCCATGGTGGGCAGGCTCCGGGTGGATTTGAATAAGGGCTTGACCTGTGCAGGGGAGGGGAGTGTCAAAATCTAAATTGAGCCCCTTCTCCCCACTCCTCAGCCTCTGCACTGGTCCCGGCCACCACCTTCTCTCCCTTGGACCACTGCAGTCACCTCCTCACCAGCTCCCTGTCTACACCCCTACTGTCTGTTCACTGTCATTTCACATCCCTCTGCTCAGCGACCTCGGTGGCTCCCATCTCAGAGCAAAAGCTGAACGCATCACCAGAGCCCACAAGACTCTAGAAGATCCGTCCCTGCCCTCTTGCCTCAGGGACTTCCCACCTCTTTCCCTTTGCTTTCTCTAGTCCAGCCCCACTGGCTGCCTTGCTGCCCTCAAACTCCCTGGGCCTTTGCACTGGCTGTCCCCTCTGCCTCCAGATGTTGTCACATAGCTCACTCCCTCACCTCTTCCACATCACTGCCAAGAGGTCACCTCCTCAGAGAAGCAGTCCCTTGATCTAAGGTAGCACCTCTCCCCCATCACCCCCTCTTTAGCCCACTTTGTTCTTCTTCCTAGCGCATAGGGAGCAGCCAGGACTCAGCACCAGCCATTTTCCTGTGGGAATTCAATCTCAGTGTTGTCAGATCCTTCCATTTACCAAAAGATGTCAAAAGCGCAGACCTTTTTTTTAATTGCAAAGTCTTCCAATTCTCAAATGTCAGCAATAAATTCATGCTTTGCCAACCAGGGTGCTGGCCACATAAAACAGATCCCAAGGCCACCCGCTGCTTGCCAGTTTGCAGCCCCTGCCTGGAGCCCTCTCTTGGATTCGCCATGACATTTTACAGATGGGAAACAGACTTGCGGAGAGCAAAGGTGTTTTCCCCAGGTGACCCAGGCCACATTTCCTAACCCACACTGGTGGTCATAGGACCCTTCCTGTCCCCCTTCCTCTCAATCCCCCCCAGCTCCCCCAGTGTTCTCCCCAGCTCCTCATCCTACCCCTGCAGGAGGGGCCTCATCTTCGCCCAGCGGTATGAAGAATTTCTTCCTCGTGGGTGGCCCGGAGGGCTGCCGCACTCCCTCTTCGTCCATCCCAAGGTTCTTCTGGGGCCTGAAAATGAAGACATGGCGGCGGGGGCGAGTGAGACACCAGCGCCTGCATTCCCATCTTCCCAGCAGAAACCCCCACTCCCAGCTATCCCGCCCCAAAAATCCCGGGGCTCCAAAGCATCAAGTTCCAAACACCCAGTGCCCCAAATTCTTTAAAGCCCCGCCCACACGGAGCCTCCACCTTCAGCTCGCCCCGCCCCTTACCGGTCCGGATGTTTCGTTAGCCCCGCCCCTCAAGGGCCCCACTTTCTATTCGTCCCGCCCTCACTGTTCCCCGCCTTCCGTTTGCCCAGTCCAGCCTCTGTCCCCTCCGCCCCGCCCCCAGGGCTCGCACCTGATACCCTCCCCTCGCTCCATCTCATCCATCTCTCAGACACTGCAACGACTGATTGGCTCCTGTGGCTGCCGGTCGCCCCCCCCCCCCCGCCCCTCTCGACCCAGCCCTGCTGTCGGAGTGCCGCGAGGACTCACGTCCTTGCCCCCGAGCCGCGAGTGAAGAACCGGAGAGGAACCGAGGCGTCCCACCGCCGACGCGGCCAGCGCGTCCCCGGGCTCGCCCTACTTCCGGCCTCTCTAGCCCTCGATCCCGCCCTCACCGTTCCCCAGAGAGGTAGAGCTTCGAGAGGGGCGGTCCCCGCGCAGCTCTCTATGGTCATGGAGGACTGCGGAGGTCTGAGTTGGAGAGAGCCGTCGACCTAGCCGCCTGAACGTCCCTGGTTGCCGAGAAGTTCAATTTCGATGCCCTTATGAAGCACCTCCTTGTGCGCGGCATCCGGACAGGATTCAGTGGGAGGGAAAATGACGGGAGATCAAATTAGGTTCCTCCTCTCAGTCCAGACTTGGGTTCACATCCCAGCTCTGCCATTGACCTGGCCTCGGTTCCCACATTCATTCACTCTTTCATTCCACCCGTACCCCCCGAGCGCCTCCTCTGTTCCCGGCCTTGTGCCGGGCAGTGCTAGCGAGTCAGCGGTGACCACTGACAACCATAGCTCCCTCCTGTCCTTCTGGAGCTCCCAGTCCAGTGGGAGAGACACACTCGAGTTCCCAAACAGTGACGACCCGCGGAGTGAGCAAGGCTGCGATGGGAGACCCCAGACGGCCGCCGGGGAGGGGGGAGGGGAGGGGAGCGGAGAGGAGGGGCCGACCAATCCAGCCCGAGGGTAGGGAAGGGCTTCCTGGAGGAGGGGACATCTGAGCAGAGACCTGGTTGATGAGTTAGAATTAGTCATTTCCTGAAAGAACAGTATCACACTGTTCTAACTTGCGGCTCTCTGGTTACTAAGGAGAGAGAACATCTTTTTGTGAGTTTATTGGTCTTATGTAGTTTGTCTTCTGTGGATTGCTTGCTCATATCCTTTGCCCATTTTTTTAATGGGGTTGTGTGCCTTTTTTTATTAGTCTTAATTTGTAGGAGTACTTTATGGATTCCGATTTTAATTCTTAGTTATGTATATTCTAAGTATTCCCTCCTAGTTTGTACTTTGTATTTTAACTATTTATTTATGTCACAAAGAATTCGTAGTGTTTATTCACACCTGTTTATCAGTCTGTTCGGTGCTGACTTTGGCTTTTGGTGTGTTGTTTAAGAGAACTGCCATACCCCCAAGGTCACAAATATATCCTGTAATTACTTTTTTTAAAAAAGATTTTATTTATTGGGCGCCTGGGTGGCTCAGTCGTTAAGCGTCTGCCTTCGGCTCAGGTCATGATCCCAGAGTCCTGGGATCGAGTCCCGCGTCGGGCTCCCTGCTCTGCAGGGAGCCTGCTTCTCCCTCTCCCACTCCCCCTGCTTGTGTTCCCTCTCTCACTGTCTCTCTCTCTGTCAA